AAAAATGATGGCATTAAAGCTATTTTAGTTTCCAGAACAATCTATGATTGGAACTTTTTTTTGATAAATTAAGCAAATTTGAGAAAACTGGATCAATGGGTAAATTTTATGTCTCGTGGAATATCTGAAAACAAAAAAATTATTTACGAGGTTAGAAGTGACTCTTTACTCTTTCGCAGTTTGATAGTGGCGTTGTCTTCCGTTGAACAAAGAAAATGAACAGAACTTAAAAAGAACTCAAAAGTCAAGTAGCGAAAAAGTAAATTTGAGAAATAAAAAAAATATATTTAAAAAAATTCTCAAACCTAATGAAAATTATGGTATTTTGGCTACTGCTGCTTTTTTCAACTTCAAATTTTTTTTTCAAACATTTGCTTAAGCAGCTGAAAATTCGAAATTGTTAATTTACAATTCATCGTATGAGATAACAAAAATCTAGGCTGGCTTCAATATTTTATACACAGAGGCGAAGCGGAGCATCGCAGCACATGCAATACCTCACACATATAGCATTGCAAGCTAGGAGACAGAAAATGAAACAAAAGCCACTAGAGCATTTCGAAAAAAACTGGCGTTTAAAAAGTATTCAGACACAAAAATGATCGGCAGCTACGCCGGAAAAGTTGCTTTGACTCCCGTTGAGCGAAATTGTCTTCAATTGAAAAACTTTTGAGAGTTCCGGAAGTCTAAATTTTTATGCTCCCCCCTCTGGAAACACACAAAGGCGTTAAAATCCATTTCTCCTTTAAAACATCGCTTAACTAGGTCTTTTATTCGATAAAACATAAACCAAAACGAATAAAGCCAAACAAACCAGCGAACAAAACGAAAAAAAATTACAAACTTAAAAAGTTGACAAATTACAGTAACAAATCAACTCTCTTCCAGCTACAATAAAAATTACTTGCAGCAAAGCAGAAATCCATAACAAAGCAACCAAGCCGACTAAACATAAGCAGGCACACAACAAGTCGACAACTTTTCGAAATAGAACAATTCCCTTTTGAATGAATAAAAAATTCTGGCCTGGTTCGAACACAGGACCTTGACCACCTCAGACCACAAAAACCATGTGAGCCTGAAAAACAAATAAAATTTGATTTTGATGTAAGCCAAGCTATCATGTGTTTTTCTGTAAGCATTTTGTTAAACAAGAAAAATCCTAATACGGCAACTAAGCCAACAAAACATAATCAGACTACAGTTTATGTTTTGTGAACTTTTGAAAATTCAAGTTTTGTAAAAATTTTCGAAAAAATTACTTAAATTGTTTTATCTCGTTAGCTAGAAGGATTTGGGCATTCGTTTTCGGAGACCAACAGCACAACCTTTAGAAGAATTTCGATAAAATTCTAATATTGGGTCGCTAAATTCAAACTTGGTGAAGCAACCACTGAAGTGTAAAACTTCTAAAGAAATTTCTTAAGCATTGCAATATACAATATTGCTTGAACGTGAAAAATTTTTGGTGAACCATGCAAAATATTATGCAGAGAATTTTTAAAACATGGCGAAATAGTGAAGCCCGCATTTAAATATATAACAGATATTGATACAAAATCAAAACCCAAGAAACTTTTGTTTACTGGATTCTAAATATTCAACTTACGTAATTTTATTGTTTTCAGTGTTAAAATTTCTTCATTTTTTGAGTGAGGTAATCCAAATTCTTAATCCAAAAGAGTAACCCAAATTGAGGTCTTTCTCACAATTTTTCAACAGGTTCATCAAAAATTTTCACCCAGTCAACTTATCAGCGCAAATTTGCAGCAAGGTCAATTTGTTTTCCTACAGAAGATAAAGATATCTATGACACTGTTTCATGATGAACCGAACTGTTGGAGTCCAGTTTATTCAACGTTTATTCCAATCGAAAGAAGTTTGAAGTACTCAGCGAATATTCTTTATTGGAAATTATTTTTCTGATCACAGAACAGGTTTAAATGCGCTTCAAAAACGTTTGCTGATTTAAGCAGAAAATACATCATTGCGCGACACTTTCAAATCAATATAGGTTTTTACATTACTAGTACACTTTTGAGAATGATAACTTAACAGATTTGCTAATTTGCATTGAATTGAAGTTTCCTCAATTCTAATTTTTTCAAAGTAAGTTTTATATAAAATATTCGGATCTCCACTAAAACATAGCGAACATTGGAAAGGTTTACAAAAAACTGAAATTAAATTAATTGAATCTTTTCAGCTGCGCGTTTCGAAAAAAAATTTATATCCCATTCAAGCTCTTTGAAACTCAACAATTGTTTCTGATTTTCAAATTGAATAGTTAAACAGAGACGAAGTTGCACTTTGCATACACAATCAAAAATATGACCGATAACGCTACTGGGGAAAAACTGAATGAGTAAAACTTTGAGTCAACAAAATTTCCTAAGTGACGCACGCCAATTATGAGTCTACATAATTGCTAAGTGACGCAAGCCAATTATGGCGCATTAGCACTACCAGTCAGTTTAAAAAACGAAATTTACCAAATAACATGCCTCAATTTATAGAGTGGACGCATTTTAGCTGGTATACGAAAAAGTTCATTGAAAACATCCGACCCTTCCCAGGTTCGAACCCACTTATTTAGTTGCGGGTCTCCTTCCTTACCTCTACGCTACAGATTCGTGATACCTTTGAGCTAAAGTGTTTTTTGTAATATAATAGAGTGTGTTAATATCCTTAGAATTGGATGTACTTAATGGCTGGTTATTGATCAACATGATAACTTTCAAAACGAACACATTTTGTCGCAACAATATTTGCGACTTAGGTTGGAAAAAAATAGAGTCCATACTATAACACAAACTTTGCTTATATAATGAGGAAACTGGAAAAGCATAGAAAATGAACTTAACTTAAACAGAAAAAATAGCCAACGGACCGTCGGAAAAGAGTCAATGATTGCATGGAGAGAGAAAAAAACTGGCGAACTTTTGAAGGAATTTTGAAAAAAATATATGGCATTTGAACTTCAGAACGGACATTTTTTTACACCGTGGCAAAGCTGCACTTCGCAAACACTTGCGAGACTACGACCAAAAAGCAACTCTGTCAGTTGAAATAAGAAAAAGAAGAAATAAGCCTCGAATTAACAAAACCTCGGCTACATGTCGGATTCGATTATCACGCACTAACCACTCAGCCACGGATGCTTAAAATTCCCAAAAACTAGCAACCAATAACGCAGCAAAATATGCTAATAAATTTCCAAATCGATGCAACAAAAGTAGCACTAAATGCAAAAAGACACAATTTTGCATGTATTAAATTCGGAAGCATAAACCCAAATTATGCATTTCAAAAAATTGCGAGATACATTGAGTAGGAAAAATTCTGAAATCGAGCTTTTTATCATTGTACTCCTGTAACTTCTTTCGATTCATTTGATGAATTAAGAACGGAACAGCTGTGTTATCTTTTTACTTATCATACGTAAAAGCACATATGATTTTATACTGCTACCGCAGCCAACTGATTCAGAGGAGTATGTTTTTGCTTTTTCACACATGTTCTTTCACGACAAGGCATGAACAAAAAATGAAATATTAGAACGCATGAATGAAAAAAGAAATAATTTGCATAGTTTCGCGCACTTTTCACAATTTTCCGGGGTCTTTGTTTGAAAGAAGCCCGATTATATTAATTGAAAGAGCAAAAACGGTTCCTTTTCCTTTTCCCCCCATCCGCAATTTTTTACAAGTAAAATTACTGTTCCCACCAACCGATTAACAAGAAAATTGGCATGCGGACTAATCGGGCCACGACAAACATATTTGGTTTTCATAATTAACCGTGTAAAACCACTCATTACATCTTAAAATTGATGCTCATACGAGGTGCGGGAAAAGGAAAAAGAGCCGCTAAAACAAACAGAAAGAGCAAAAACATACTCTTCAACAGGCCGGGCTCTTTTACCCTCGGGCATCTTTCAACTTGGTTATAACTACTACAAGCCACCAAAAGTAGCACTTTTATTTGCGACTTAGATTGGAAAAAAAAAGAAAGTTCACACTAATACACTTTATTTCGCAAGTTTAAATACGACTAACCCAATGTGGGAAAACTGAATCAATTGGTAATTTTTCATTCTGCTGAGAAATCTGAAACTAGAACCGCTTTTCGAAAATAGAGGCCGATCAGGTTTTTTGTGACCTTCACACTATTGTTGTTCGATAGCGGAGTTTGCCTTCCTTTTAACAAAGGAAATTGATGAAATTATACCAAAACTCAAACCGCGAAAAATCAAAACTGAGCGCGAACAAACTTCCCTAAAAAATTTTCATCTATTTTGGACGACGTCAGAAATACAAGAACAAAAATACGAAAAACTAACTAAAAACAGTCAATCGAAGATTGGAAAAGAGTAATGAACGCAACTAAAATAACAAAAAAAAAACACTTTGTTTGAAAAATCTCAACTTTCGATTTTCAAAGAAAAAAATAGATTTCCTGAAGCTCTTTGAATTTCTAGAACAATTTATGACTGGCGCTTTTTTGGTAACATTAACCCAACTAGAGAAAACTGCATCAACAGGTAAAGCTTTTATTCCGATGGAAATCTAATTTAAACTCCACTTTCGAAACTAGAAATTGTTCACGTTTTTTCGCGCCATTTCCACGTTCGTATTTGGAGAGAGCTATTTACGACATTTTCAGCAGATGAATTTCAACTGAACTCAAAAAATGCATTATCATAAGTGCATCAATATTTTCAGACTTTTTCCTAAAAAAAACAAAAAAATCAGAAAGACCTATATTAGAGTCTTCACTACGTTCATTACTCCTAAACATCTTTCAACCTTTATTTTTTGAGACTGCAAAATTCATTGGTCTGCTCTGATAGATAATATGATCTTGCGTGAACCGATTACGAGAAAGAAGTATGCGCAAGATCATCGTTCTCCTCACTTCTACGGAGGTGTTCTGACGAATAATATACCAAATGAATGCTTGAACAACCTCAAAAGCTACCCATGCAATTAACAAAAAACTCGTTGTGCAAAACTTTATTTGAAAAATTGCATTGCATCAAATCAAATACAATTTATTCGACCAACAAGTAGATAATCTTATTCACACCTAAAACACGCAGGTTTACAGAACGCCGTTAACTATTTGCTGAACGCAACTTTGAGCATGATTTTGAATGGTAAGTCGAACATTATTTTGCCCAGACTTAACTTTTAGAAAACTATTTTTTCCATCTGTTAACCCACATATTGTATGAAAGCGCACATGGAAGATCTAATTTGAATACACATTTCAAGTTCCCGTCGACAAATTGAGGATAATGGACACCGATAAAAGGCAACCGGCAACGACCTGAGTTAATAAACTATCACACCTAACTAGATAAACATTAGTAAAATTATGTACAAACTCAATGAAATTAGAACAACGCAAATTATTAGGTCAGAGAAAGATTTCATCAGAATAATTCAAACTTAGCAAAATTTAAAATGCAAAAAATAAGCCCGTAAATAATATTAGAAAGATGATAAATAGACTGATTGTTCATTAAAAGCTTGGCTCGTCAAAAATAATTTTTGTTTCAGGAAATTTTTCAGCTGAAAACGTCATACAACTTTTGACACGCCATTAGATTGTGGTGAAATTAAGCTATCATCTACTTATTTGATTAACTATTAAACTCACATCTTTTACAAAACGGTAATCACGATAGAATTCATTTTAAAGGCTATCTGAACTGATCATTAATCGTTTAATTAGATCTAAACCGCATTTTAAATAGGCAATTCACTAATTAACCAATTTTAATTAGTTATTTTTTCGGTTAATTTCGGTCAATTAGAGAGGAAGTTTATATCTGCTTTTACCACTGTTTTCGTCAAAACATCAACAGCCGAAACTCTAATCTCCGTTTCGCCAAATTGCATAGTTAGTTGAAGCTCCCTTCGTTTTTTAACCCCGTCGGCTGAATTTTTTGAATATTTCACCAAATCGTTCGGGTCTAGCTGTGATAAATCTATGTTGAGTGTTCCGCATCTTCTTACGCCCTTATCTGTTATATACCTACAAGTTTCCGAATCACTCGCGTATATATTGACTACAATTTGTTTCTGGCTAGCTTTAGCCGGGGTATAACTTCTCGTGACAATTTCACCCTGGGCGATTGCCTGACCTGATTTGACGAACGGGTCAAATACGTCGGTGACCCAAGCTTGACCGTCTTTGCCTATGACCCGTTTCTTGGGGTCGTGTTTTCCATCTACGAACTTGTTCAGAACTCCCACCCCGTACGTGACCTTGGGCCTTCTGATGCGCACTATGGTTGGGTCTAGGCCGAATAGAACTGCTCCTTTCAGAACACATAAACTTGTGCCTGAAACAAAAATAATTTAAAAAAATTAGGTAGCGGGAAAGGACGTGGGAGAAATTTGGCACGTAAAGACGTGAATTACAGCTACAAAAATAAAATATACTAATTCATGTGTATCTGGTCTTCTAATACAACCTTTGAACCAATTATCGCACCACAAATTTTATAGAAAAAATATAGACTGCCGTATAACGAAAGCACCATACGAGTTGCCGCCTCCTTTTGGACAATATTGGAAGCTCCAATATAGCATCAAGTCATTAATTTTCCCAAATTTTGTTCTTCATTTAATTGATGATTGATTAAAACTGTAAAGAGGAGTGATTTGGAGGAACAAAATCTTTCTAAATCTACCTTGAGGTATGATAAGCTGTATCTTATCCTTGTATGTATCCCTGAGATACTTCTGCAGGACAGGCGACTCTGCAAATCCCCCGACCAGGAACATGTAGTCCACCCCTGACCCCGAGAGAGCGGGACTCTGCAGGATGTCGTCCAGTACTTGCACGATGTTTTCTAGGGTCGGTTTGAATAGCTTGAACATTCCCTCAGGAGTCAGACGCATCATACCTACAAGAGATAGCATAAATGTTTGTATTATAAACAGCCACTAATGGACAACAATAATTGTCACACGCACACAATGCATATGAATTTAACGACATTTAACAGTTACGGCTGCTAGACTTCAACTGTTTTTGAAAAAAAAAAAACGTCGGGAGAACTTTCATTTTTCTCGAAATCATTCAATATGCCTGATGGCAGGTTTTATTTATCAGTATCCCAGTTAGCGATAACGGAATCCTGCTTTCAAACAAAAGCAACAATTGCAAAATGAGTTCTAATAAGAACTGCGACTGACCTTCTGAGCTCCAGCGGACGTTTTTGTCATCGAATCGTCTGATTGCACTCTCCACAGTCTGGTTCTTGTTCTTCCTGTAGTAGTCGAAGAGGGAGAAGGGAATAGATACATTGAGTGCATTATCTTTGAAGGGAGTCGCACTGCGCTTCCTGCTCTCAAATGCCAACATGAAGTCCACCCACCCCGCCGGTCGCTTAGTCTGCCAACAAAAAGGAACATCTTTCTCATAACTCCAATGCTAATGACTTAATTCGTATTTAACTTTAAATACGAATGTTCCTGGAAAAAACTTGAGACACTCCAGAAACGCTATCCGAAAACTTTTTGCTCAATTGAAGAAAAAATCACTCATTTGAAAAAATTCTTCAGCTTAGAACGGATTGCACCCCCCTAGAAGCCTAGAAAGTAATACCCCTATAAAGGACTATTTCAACAGTTATTCATTTGAGAAAAATGCACCTATTTACGAAACTTTCCCCTTGCAATAAGGAAAAATTGCTAAGGAGACTCACAAAAAAACATTAACACTGCCCAGATATTTCAGGTGGAGACATTCGAAACTTAATTCGAGTCATTTCAACCAAAGTAAGTCAAGACAGGCGAGAACCTAGATGCGACTCTTTTCACTCAATTCTAAATCAAGACAATTAAGATAGGCCTAAATCACAGCAAAAACATAGACAACTGACAAGATTCAATGAACGCAAGTAAACAAGAAAATGACTCGTTTTTTTTTAACTTTTAAACCTCATCTTTACTCGAATTCAAAAAATAGATGCCCTTCAAGCTCTTTGAATTTCTAGAACAATTTACAATTCACACTTTTTTGATACAATTAACCCAATTTGAGAAAACTGGATTAATAAGTAAAACTATTATTTCGCTGGGATACCTGAAAATTAATTTCCTTTTTCAAAACTAGAAGACGATCACTACTTTCATGACCTTTACACTTTTGCTTTTCGATAGTAGCGTTTGCCTTGCTTTTAACAAAGGGAATGACTTATGAGAAATCAAAAGTCAAAACGGAAAAACTAAATTTGAGCCTGAACAAATTTTCAGACTTTTCCTGAAAAAACTTTTAAAAAATCATCGCGACCTATATAAAAGTCTGAAATACGTTCGGTCGCTCTTAATCAACTTTCCTCTCCTACCTACTTAAACAAATTCTTGGCCAAAATGTCAATTCGCTCTTAGTGCACTCTTCATTAATCAAACAATTTACAAGATCAAGCCGGTTACAGGGTTCATATGAAGTCCACCCACCCCGCCGGTCGCTTAGTCTGCCAACAAAAAGAAACATCTTTCTCAAAAATCCAATGCTAATGACTTAATTCGTATTTAACTTTAAATACGAATGTTCCTGGAAAAAGCTTGAGACATTCCAGAAACGCTATCCAAAAAATTCTTCGGCTTAGAAGTTTTTCAAACAAACAGATTGTACCCCCCTAGAAGCCTAGAAATGAATCTATAAAGGACTATTTCAACAGTTATTCATTTGAGAAAAATGCACCTATTTACGAAACTCTCCCCTTGCAATAAGGAAAAATTGCTAAGGAGACACAAAAAAAAACATTAACACTGCCCAAATATTTCAGGCGGAGACATTCGAAAGTTAATTCAAGTCATTTCAGCCAAAGTAAATCAAGACAGGCGAGAACCTAGATGCCTGATGGCATGTTTTCTGCAGGATGTCGTCCAGTACTTGCACTATGTTTTCTAGTACAATCAACTTTCCTCTCCTACCTACTTAAACAAATTCTTGGCCAAAATGTCAATTCGCTCTTAGTGCACTCTTCATTAATCAAACAATTTACAAGATCAAGCCGGTTACAGGGTTCTGGTAAGTGCTAAAATAAGAATTGGTATTTAGTTTCAACACCCACCCCAGCAATATATTAAAATTTGACTAGTTTTTCTTATTTAGTCTCATGAAGGTTAGTTTAGCATACATTATTTCATAGTTTCTAGCCAATTTTGGAGCTCGGGATGAAATTAGTTCACTTAAACAATTATTCTTTCTCAGGAGCTTTCCAAAAACAAATGGCGTCTGAAGATGCTTGGCATGAAATAATGAAAGAGACTGACTGGACGATTGTCCGTTTCACGCAATTACCTTGTAATGAGAGATAAACTCGGCCCCGAAAATAGAATCCAATAGTTTTTCAAATTGCAAATCGACAGACACGCTTCCATAAGGCCCTCCTGAAGCTTTATAGACCTCTTGCAGACAACCTTTCTCACTGTCCATAGCATGGACTGTTATGTCCACTGTTCCTCCGCCACAGTCCACTACCATGTATTTAGTGCCTGAAACAACCCCGAATTTATTCAATCCTACTCTACAACTATACCTGTAGCTTGTTCACAGTTCGTTTAACTTTACTGTTACTTAATAGTAGGAGCTGCAGTTTCTGTTTAATGTGAACGTACTGTTAAAGTAAATGGTTTACCACCACTTTGGAATGAAAGTAAATTGAAATCCAATGGCATTCTCACATATTATTGGGCCGAATTTCAAATATTATTCTTCTCTCAAGGGAGCAATTTCAAATTCATTGTTGGTTTCAAGCTGAAATTCGCGTTCTTCTCTTTCTCTGATTTCTTTCATTTCACCCGATCAATTGAATTGAAGTTGATTTTATAAATGAGAACAAAATTATGTGATAACCCAGTAAAACACCCGAGAATCGTATTTTTACTCAAAGAAAAGCTTCGATCGATGATCGACAATGTCATGAAAGTGCTGATTTAAATAACCATAAATTGGGTTATTTATAGACAAAAAATGATGACGATAAAACTTGCTTAGAAATTTGCAGAACTACGCGGTTCAATTGATTTTTCAAAATTCGGGTGAAAAAATATACCTCAAAAACTACCATTTTTGCTTTTTTAGGCAATCAAAAATTAAGCCGAAATCATTTCAATCGATGACAAAGTTATATCAGAGTGAACCTCATTTATTGCCCAACGAAGTTTGAAAAGGGCAGAAGCGGATTTTGGGGTTGGCGGAGCGCCCTTCTTCAGGGATTCCACCCCCTCACCAACCAAAGCCCCCCCCCCCTTTGATATTATTTTATGACATCTATTTTCGGCTGATCAAACCAAAAAAATTCTTAAAGGAGCCTTCGGCGACAATAAATACAAATTTTGAAAGGGAGCGCGCGCCGAAAAAACGCAATTTTTTGGTAAAATTTTCCAAAGTGCCCAAAAACCTGGTTTTTCAAATTTTTTTAAAAGGGTGACCTATTTTTTTTGTCAAAATAGGGTTTTCAGTTTCTCAGAAGGGTATAATCTTCATAGTATGGCGCAAAACTTCAAAAAATATTTTAAAAAAAATTGGTATATATAGTAAAAATGAAACTTTATGGCTATCTAACTATAAAAAATTTATTTATAAAATGGTAAGACTATAACTTATAATTTAGAAAAAAAAACTGCACCCTCTTAATTCTCCTCAAACTTTAAGCAGTTATCTCGTCATCACTTCCTGTATAAATACAACCCAATTTAAAAAAAAAAACGCTTTAATTTTCAAATTCAATTTTTTTTGTCCACATAATTTAAATCAGCACTGTACACTTCTTGAAAATGAATCAATGTGACTTTGAAACGCATGTTGAAGCTATTTTAAGGATGATTCTAGATAGGAGAACCAAACCATTTTCCGTTTTCGAGACAGCCAGCTCAGTTGAATCGGAAACTCCTATAGAAATCAATCTCAACTAGAACAATATATATATCCACCGAATTTTACGTCAAATATTATACATGAAAATAGAATTTAGTAGATCGCGCGTATCGTACCTTTATCTTTGTTTATAGCTTGCTGAACTTGCGCTCAATCTGCTTCAAAATAAGGTCCGCACCTATTGATTTTTAGGTCGATAAAACGCTGCTGTTCCTTTGAAGTCAATCAAAGGAGAGTTGTAAATTTCAGCGCGCCTAAAATTGGGGCCACTTTTTGGCCAGGTTGGATAAAAACAACTATATTTCCCACAAGTTTTTGAAAAATACATTTGTTCTTTTGAACACATGTTGAATTTGGGGTAATATGACGTTATACAAAATTGGTTCCATTTCTTGGCCCAGTTGGATTAAAACAAATGTATGTTTTCCACCAATTTTTGGTATTTACATTAGTTATTTTGAACATGTTGAATTTAGGGTAAAATGACGTTTATAGAACACACCCAACAGAAAAAATTCATGGCCAATTTTTTCTTGAATATTTTAAAGAGGCGAAGCTGTGCCTCGCAAACCCTGGCAAGAAAACGACAAAAGCAGCTATATATCGAAATAAAAAGTTAAATAAGCCTTGAAAAGGAAAAAATTTTGCCTATGGCGGATTCGATCCTATCACCAAGAGATTTAGTGTCCCCTGTTCTCGCATCTGTGCCACGAGCCGTTGACAATTTACTAAGACTAGCCACAAACAAAGCAGCTACATATGCTAATAAATTGCCAAGGCGATGCAGGAAAAGTGGCATGAAATATAAATAGACACAACCTAGCATGTAATAATTTTGAATATAACAAACTGAAGGTATCCACACTAACTGGAAGTGCACTAACAGCCAAAATATTTTGCAAGATATTTTGAGTTGGAAAATTCGTGAAATCGAGTTTGTAATATTGTACTGTCGTTTGAAACAAAGCCTTTTTCGGCTCATTTGATGAATTAAAAAAGCATTAACTAAGTTAACTTATTACTGGCAAAAACTAGAACTTGCCAATTAGGAAAACATATGGCCTAAATAAGTGAATACTCTTTCAATTGCTTAATTATCAAAAACAAAGCAAGCAGATAAATGTAAATCAACACTAGTCACAAATAAAGCAGCTACATATGCTAATAAATTGCCAATGCCATGCAGCAAAAGTGGCACCAAACATAAATCGACACAACTTTGCAAGTAATAATTTGGAATACAGCAAAATGGAGGCATTCAAATTAACTTTGCATGTTATAAATTGTAAAAAATAAATCCACATTATGTATAAATTATGCATTTCAAAATATGAGATGTGTTGAGTTAAAAAACAATCTGAAATCGTTTTTTTTTGTATTGTTATGTTGTTCGAAACAAATAGCTTTTTCGGTTCTTTAGCATCAACTGTGTTTGTTAACTTATTATTATTCGAGTGTCAGAGCATATAATGTCGAAAATCCGTAAAATACCACCAAAAATGGCATTAACATTTGCTACTTAGGTTAGAAAAAAGATTAGTCGTACCATTACACTGTGCTCACTCAAGTTGGCTAGTGTAAACAAAGGAAATGAAGTGACCTTAGAAAAATCATAAGTCAAACCGCGAAAAATCTAATTTGAGCGTGAACAAATTGTATGACTTTTTCATGAAATAAATATAGCCAACTGACAGTTGGAAAAGAGAAATGAACGCAAGCAAAGAAAAAAAACACTGACTTTATTGAAAAAATCTCAATTTTCGAATTTCAAAGAAAATAGAAGCCCTTTGAAATTCTAGAATAATTTTTAATTGGCACTTTTCTGATAACATTAACCCAATTTTAGAAAAGTGGATCAATAGTTAAAGTTTTTATTCCGCTAGAAATCTTCAAATTAAATTCCACATTCGAAACTAGCAATCGTTCACGTTTTTTCGCGCCACTTTCATGTTCGTAATAAGAGAGTGCTAATTACGTAACTTTCAGCAGATGAAATTCAATTGAATTCAAAAAGTGCATATATACCTAAGTGCATTTATAAATGCATTAATAAGTATGAATGCATATCTGTAGGTATTAGAGCATTTTAAGACTTTTTTTACTGCAACCATCAAGACCTATTCGTTTATATTTGATAAATCAAACACTCAACTTACTCGATTGACCGAAAAATATCTTCAAGAAAAACTGCTTGCATGTAAAAGTCACAGTGACAAAACTTTAAAACACGCCGGAAAAGCTCTAAAAAGAGGAAAAACAATGTGAAATGAGAATAGCCAGGTACGGTGCAAGTAGAACAGAATGTTCCGACCATAGTCTTAAAAAATATATAAAATTCTTGTTAGCTCGAAATTAGACGAAATATCAAAATTTCGAACAGGTGGTTTAATGTCGTTCCAATCACGACTGAAAAAGCTTTAACATGATATATCACTCGACCAATTCCGATGATTATTTGTGGTATCTGATTTTCCGTGGAAAACAAAAAAAGCGAAAACACACCCGAAAACAAAGTTCTCCCCATTTTTCAAATTGTCGGAAAAATAAAGAAATAAAACTGCTTATATCAGGGCAAAGCTCTGAGCTTTCCTACTGGCCTCATCGCGTTCATCCCTATTTGAATAATAGTCGTTAAAACAGTCCCTAATTCAAATCATTGCTCTTTTTCCGCTCTCTCCCTGACTATGAAACATCAATTATTATGGTTCCTCGAGTGGTTTTACAAGGTTTAGTATGAAGATCAAATATGATTGTCATCGCCTAATTAAACCGCATGCCAGTTTTTATACCAATAAAATAATGTGCATAGAAAAATTACTAGTGAAAACTGGCAGTTGGGGTGAAGGAAAAACCCAAATCATTATAAATTTGCAATAAATGATCACAGGTGAATCATCTTTTTATATTTCAGCTGGAAAAAATATCTTCCAGATAGTATAAAAACTATCATTATTATTCGAATTTTCTTCGAAACCCAGAACAGAAATAAAAAGTTCAAATAAGCCTTGAAAAATTAAACTATTGCAATGTTCAGGATTTGAATCTCCGACCTTTAGACTTCGAGTCTCATATCCTGGCATCAACGCCATCGTCGCTTGGAAGTAATTTAACACTAGCTACCAATAATAGAGCATCAGAGGCAATTTAATTGTCTATGGATGGAAATATACCAAATAAGCACTTTTATTTGCTACTTAAAAAATGTTTCATAGTATCGCACTACACTTCGCTTGTATAAATATACAATTGGCCGTAAAATAGATTTCGAGACAATTTTATTTTTCTAAAATTAGTTGTTAGTTTAATACAGCTCACCGTCGTGTAGTTCAGTTGCCGGTTTCAGTCTCTCGGGTATCTCTGCGATGTCTTCTGGGAAGATCACTGAGAGCAGTTTAGTCTTAGGCGATTCATCTGTTAGTTCTATCTTCCTAAGACGCCTGCAGTGGATTGAGGCTGCCTCGGGCTCCAGAGCTATTAGCAACTGCTCAGCATCTGAAGACGAGGCAAGACCGGCCTAGAAGTAAAATATTTGAGCATGGCCAACAAGAAGTTGGAAAAGAGTCAATGAACGCAAGTAAACAAAAAAAGACTGACTTATTTTTTAAGACAAAGCCTCAACTTTCGAATTTCAAAAAAAGAAATAGCAAGCCTTAAGTGTACTTGAAATTCTAGAACAACTTATAACGAACGCTTTTTTCATTGAATTAACCCAAAGAAATCAAATATCAAACCGCAAAAAATAGTGTTGAGCCTGATCAAATTTTAAGAGTTTTCCTAAAAAAAAAAAAACCATCGCGACCTATGCAAGAGTCTGAACTATGTAAAAATTTTATGCTTCATGTCATAATTACATGCTCAAACTGAACGTAAAATCTCAAACTGAACGTTACATGCTCAAACGTTTTTTCGTAAAATCTATTCCAATTAAATCAAAGCTTAAATAGTTAGCCCAAAAATTAGAATGCATGTAATTTATTGTTTGACCAAATTTATTGTTTCACAAAGTGAGAAAGGACTATGGGGAACGATGGGTTTTCCTTCAACGAATTTTGAGATCCTGAAAGAAAGCTTGCCATGGGGTTTAGTGTGATATCATATTAAAACCCATTCAACCGTGATTCCGATTTCGAATTTTTTTTTATGTTTTCAAACCAACTTGATAACACTGATTCTGAGACCAATTTAGTTCTCTAACTCGCGTTATTTTGTATTTTTTGTATATAATTAGATCTCATTCTTGCAGTGTTTTATTCAATCGCTCTTTACTAAAAAAACAACGGGAAAATGAGAAAAAATGAAGCATTTTAGTAACGAATCTAAGATTTTTACTTTTTCCCGAAGTTTATTTTTAAAAATCATTAATTTCGATTTCTAAACTGAACTCATTGTGGTTAGAACACTCGTGTTACTTGTACAGCAATCACCTTTTCTTGTTGTTCCGACTTTCGATACGAAAGTAACGGAATATTTGTGCTCGGGTGGGTTTTTTTTTCTTCAGACAAATTTCGACTTTTTAACTAGCCATTTTTGACGGTTTTTTTTATATATCGTTCGAAAGCTATTGTTGTCTTGAGCTCAAATTTGAAAAGATATTTTACCAGTGATCGTTTTTCGTAAAGTTATGGGGGTTTAAAGATTACCATTTTGGCCAATTTGGGACAATTAACGCGCTATGTATATCGCACTATTAACGAGTGAGCGGAGATTTAATCCGTCTTAGAAATCGTTCCAAATTGGTTCAAGGAAGATTATATGCCATAATTGATTTGTTAATAGGAGCAAAATCTATCCCTTTGTACTTAATATGGCGTGTGAGGGATGTTTTTACAAAAAATCTCAAACTTTTTTAGAAAATGCATTTTAATGCATTTAAATTTTCCTTGTTATTACTGCTCCACAGACTTTAAAAGGCAGTCGGAACATTTACTGATACGAGCAGTCTTGTTTAAATTTAGTGCTTACAACTCCGGCCTATGCACAAAAGCGAAAATATGTTCTAACACAGCAACAAGCTTCATGATTTTTTTCTTTCAAATTGAACGGAGTACGTTTCAATCCACAAGGTAAACGAGCTGTATGTCGTTTTGAAGTGTGAGCAATTAATAAAAAATACAATCTAGCTGACATAAAAGTAAACAAAAACAACTCAGATTTACGATGTACTTTACCAACGTCAATCAGATATGTGATGTACTTTATCAAAGTGTACAAACCAATAACATTTGCCTTTTTTTTACATTGTTCACCGACTAAACTCAGTCAAGGGCGAAAAATGTTCCAATTAGATACTGAACATTGAAACACGAGAATGAAACTGGACAGACCTTGTGGTGATACAATAGCAGCAAATTATAAAAGAAAATGAAAACTGCTTTATAAATAGAAAATAGATGAACAGTGATCCAATAACTTAAATTGGTTTTTTTTTTCAAAAACGAAGTCGACTGCTCCATCATATATCTGAATTGAGTAAAGCCTCAATTATTACAAAATGGGAGGCAAGTTTCAACATAAGCCCATCAAAAACTACGAATTAATTTGAATAGTTTTAAAACTATTACCGAAAGCAGCAAGCAAAATAAAAAACTTGAGACTACTGTTGAAAGTGAAAAACCAAAAAAGAAATTGAAATATTTGAAAAAACTTCGATGGGAAAAAACACACGATGATAATTTAAAATATTCAAAGTGCAGAGGCGAATGCTTTATGAGTCAATTCTTACAATTCGAAAAGGGATGCTAGCATCAAGTTTCACGCAAGTCATAATTAGCTAGAAGTTACACCTGATCAGAAAGCAGAGGAGGATGAGTAAGTCCCGACACCAATTGCGTCAAAAAACTTAAGCGCTCACGACAAAATATCTGACCAACAAATTGAAGCTGCTCACGTGGGCAGGTAGAGAAAGAACAAGCATTATCTTATAGGTAAAGAAGTTTTGATAGCAACGGACCATAAGGCTCGTACAATGGCTTGAGAAGGAAAAAGATCAAATGAGACACACTAACTTAGACTGACATTTTAGTAGATAGGTCATTATTGTATCAATTCAAAGTGATAAAAGTCGCTGGAAAAGATATAGAAATAGTAGAATATATTTCTAGCGAGCCAAATGGAGACCCGGGGTCCCAGTCATAACTAGACAACAACTTAGAAGTTACAACTTTTGAAGAAATTCAGTCGGTTAAAATAGAGCGAACCAACGATACAAAATCTTTGTAAAGCTTCTATAGCTAAATTAACCTGCTAATTACGTTGTCGTACGGTTGCCAAAGCAAAAACCTTCAAAACCAAACAAACTCAATCTGAAAAAAAATGAACTTAATTTCACGATCTTCAAATCATTTCAATAGCAGTTAACCACTTTTGAACTACAAGAAGCAGTCAAAAGAGAAGTTTAACCAGTATTTTTTTAAAGGCAAGAAAAACGTTTAGACTGAAGAAAGGCGGAGAGGAGAGAAAACAGAAGAAAATTTTGTGATCCCAAGGTGGAACCGATTAAAAAGCGCATTGAACACAAACCAATTCTCGGAGAAAGAGGAAGTGACGGAAGCCTTTCAGCGGACGGGAAACAATTTCGAAGCAGCAATAAAAAAAAGGGCAGATCGGAAAAGAAACTGGAACATTACAACCTAAAGAGAAGCGGGCACTGAAAATGGAGGGAGAAATACTGACAGACACTAAGCTGTTTTCGTTTTGCCAGTTTTTGAAGAGGAGTTGAGAGAACAACCCCGTAACTCGATAGAACGGTAAACCAGTCAGATTACTGGGGAGAAAGACCAATAAAAATAGCTGGGGTGGAACTGACCCAAAGAGATAATGGGGAAGATGCACGGGAAGTCAATGTAGTGGGAGCCCACCAGAAGAGCCAGTCACATGTCAAGAAAAAATAATTTTCTTAACTAATCACAATCAATATATCCTCTATTACACTTTGAAATCATTAAAGATTACATGTCAAACCCAAAACACAGATGATTGCAATGTCTCAAAATTGGGCAATCAGATAAAACCGTAAGTTCTAAAAGTTAAAGACAAGGCAGCATTAACTATTTTCTTACGAGAAATAGTTAAAGAACAAATAAACAAGGATTTAAAATAGGACTTGATCCAAATTGTATCTTTGAAATCAGTTAACTGCGCCATAAAAATAATAATTCACACAGAGGCGAAGCGGAGCATTACTTTCGATGCAAGAAAAACAGACACATAAGGGGGAAAAATAAAAAAAAAGGTCTACCAAAGTTTTAAAATTCTCGATATGCCTCGATAGAAAATCAATCAAGACAAATATCACAGAAATTTGAATATTAAATTAGCAATGGAACAAAACTTACAAAAAGTCAACAAGTCGACACTCTTTGACCAAGTTGATACTGAAACGTAGAAAAATCTGAAAGTTTTAAATACCACCTGAAACTACAAGGAACAAACCTTGCACTAGCAACTGCAATGAAAGTTGCTAATAGCACAAGAAAACAAAGTAATGTTAAACGTAAAATCCCAAAATTACAGTTAAAAACGGAAACGTCGAATCAAACAAAAAACGCGATCTGTTCAATGACTACTTCGTCAGCGTGTGGGGACCAAATGAAGATCAACTTCAAACCAAAATCAAACACAGTGAGCTGAGCAGGTTTATTGTTGACCAAAGCCAGGTCAGCGAATTAATGTAGCTAAAGGTCAACAAGTGAAGGGGATACGACAATATTGGCAATCTCATTCTGAAGTCATGTCACAAAACTACGCGAATCACTCGCCCTGGTATCTCAAACCTGCTAAACAAAGGAATTTTCCAGCACTAGGAAACCAACACGAAGTTATTTGCTACAGGGCAATCAGCCTACTTAGCAGTTGCTCAAAAGCACTGGAAAAAATCAAATTTGACAAATCTACAGAAAAGTTTAAAATACACAACTCAAAGTCAAAATTATTAGCGGAAACGATTACCCGCCACAATTCAACTTTTTCTCTTCGTTGACCGAATATCCTAATTGAACGAGAATTTGCAGTTTTATTCTTGGATTTTGACAAAGCATTCGATACTGTACCTCATGATATTTTGCTCAATAAGTTCCAAACTTTTGGCTTTAGAGGGAAACAATCCCAGGTATACTCATTCCTTACCAACAGGAAGCCAAGCGTCAAGATTGAAGACTGCAGCTCAACCCTGAGAGAGTCACTAGTGGAGCTCTGCAAGGTTCAGTCTTAGGACCATTGCTCTTCCCACTAGTCATTAATGATTTCCCGGAAACCATGGAAGACATAGAAAGCTTTGGGTTGGCTTTGGGTTGACTTTAAAGCCATCCTACTAAACCAAACTTTCATTAACACTGCTACTGAAAAATGAACAGTGTTTAGTTACATGCAAACAAAATGCAACCCAGCATCAAAAACGGCTTCAAAGGTGACCCAAAAGCATCTCTCCTGAACAAAAATCGGTTTTCAGAAAACTCCCAGCATGGCCTGGGTCTCAGTACCGAACAAGCTCACTTGGAACTAAAATTGCATTCGTTGGACAACCAAAGCAATTACTGCTTTTTTCCAAGTCAAACGTAGTCTCACAAAGAAATACCCTGTTGCCAATAAGCTGAACGAATATACTGGATATACAGTACTCATAGAAACCTACGCATTTAAGGCATAGGAAGGGTTAGCAACAAATGGATTAATTCGTCAAGTAGATGATTTACAGAAAAACTATGGGACCTGGATTTTCTCCCTCTGAACCTATACATTGAAATGCACGATATACTAAAACTCCTAACCCTGCTCGAAAAACAGTACGATGAGAAGATGGATAGAAAATCTTCTGAAGCCTGCAAAATAACCCGACAATCATCAAGAGGCAAGTTTGACAATTCAAAAAATCTATTGCAAAGAACACAACTTTCTCAGACGAGTGAAACATCTTTACAACTGTCTCAATTGCGCCTGCCCAACGTTCAGTCTTAGACCAAACAAAGCGACTCTGACCAACATATCTCAGAATTACTTCAATATAAGGTAGAGCGAAGTTAACAAATGCACATGAAGATGAAGATGTGGAAACTCCTATGAAGATGTGGAAACTGCAATATATACAACAAATTGAAATACATTTTGGACTGTAAAAGGGTGAAAATCCCTAGCACAATCGCTCTAAGCCGACAATCTCTGAGCAGACAACGGTTGAGCCAAAAAAAAAACATTTTATGAAAAAAATTAAATCCTTCAAGTTCTCCCCTGATAATAGTACGAACAGCACTCGCATTAGCATTGAAATTGCTTACAGCGCAAGCAAATCATGAGGGAATTAAGTTGAAAAAACTTTAGCAGACAAATGAAACTCAATAAGACGATAATTCAATTTTAACCGATTTTTTTTTCAATTGCATACCAACTGAAAAAACTAGGTCCGTCCGAGACAAGGACCCCAGACCTTAGGATGCAAAGCTGATGGCTTTACCCCAAGGCCAACTGGGAAGGAGCCTAACAGATAAGGCACAGAGACGAAGCGATACCACTAAAATTGCATTTCATGCTAGCTGACAGGACAGGAAAGCCACTAAGTCCAAAGGAAGCAGAAACATTTTCACCAGAAGACAACTAAAAAAACTTCGAAATGTTGCCTGGAATGATGTTTCATTTGAGGAAAAAACGTCAAGAAATTTATTAGATAAGGTTTCATGGAAGTTTAAAAACAATTATCAAATCAAAATTATTGTATAGAATAAGGAAACATACGAAGTGTCAAGGTAAGGAGAGTTACAAATTGCAGGAGTAATTGAAAACATAAAATGCAACTACAATGAAAACTGTATACAGTAAAAAAATTCTAAGACGTGCAACTGAGCCGACATAGCATAAGCAGGCAAATAAAAAGCCGACAATTTTTTCGAAACAGAAAATTTCCCTTTAGAAAAAAAAACAGCTCCTGCTCTGATTCAAACCCACAACATTCGGTGTCCCAGGCGTATTCTCCCTGATCTCTCGGCCACGAATTCTTAGCAATCAACAAAACATAGTCACTAATAAACCAGCAACATAAGCTAATAAAATGCGAATGCGATGCAGCGAAAGTGATACCGAATACGAATAGACACAATTTTGCATGTAACAATTTGGAATATAACAAACTGAAGGCATCCACCCACACTAACTTTGCATGCAAAAAATTGTAACTAAAAATTCGCGACATAGTGGGTTTAACAATTTCTGAAATCGAAATTTTATTATTCATAATGTTGTTTGAAACAAATAGCTTTTTTCGGTTCATTCGATGATTTAAAAATGCATCAACTGAGTTAATTTACTACTAATCGAATTCAAAGCACATGCTATCAAAAAGCCATAAAGGTGCCACCAAAAGTTAGAAAAAATAATAGTCGTACTATTACACTGCGCTCACTAAAACTCCCAAGTGTAAATAGTTAGCTTACATTTAGTGCGTGAAACCAACACAGAAAATGCTAGAAAAAAAATAATGAAGAAACAAATTGCTGAAAACATGCCGAGGCAACTTAAATTCCACTTCGATTTTTAAAGTTGGTCGTTTTTCGTAACCCTACATTTTTCGCTGTTCTGAACGGCAGTGAACTGAAATGTTAAAAAATCAGTAGTAGAATCGCGAAAAATAAAACTACGGTGTTCGCAACCTGTATTGCGAGGGAGATTCTCTGCTTAAGAAAACTACCTGCATTGGGGTCCCTAGGTACATATGTAACATTCGTCCAGAAATTACACAGCGACAGAAATTACATTGCGACGGTTTGAGCCATGCAAGCGTTATACACTTAGTTGAACCGAAAACCATATTTTGTTTTATCCATCTCATGCTACTCATGAGAAACTGTCCAATTTCTCTCACTTGATATGCAGCTTGTCGCATGAACTGCTTAGCACTTTCCCTCCAAATTGCAGGAACAGTGATCACCCATCGGATGTCTTCATTCTTTAGTGTTACCGTGGACTGGTCATTGAGCTCCTGTAGAGCATGCTCACGGAAGAATTTAAGAGATAGAGCGAACACTTTCATCGCTGAGACTTCTTTCCCATTGACGGCTAATATGGTCGTGTCTTTTGTTATGTCCTGAAACAAAATAATGTTCAAAATATTTTATCGCATTTATCAATAGGGTAAAAAATCAACATATTTCAGATCACTTTCAATTTTGAGGAAATTAGCTAATGGTATTGGTATCTTCTGAAGACCACTTACTAAATTGTTATAAAGTGTCATCTTAAATTTGTCAAAATACATCCATTTCTTTGCTTCTTGTGACTCCAAGTCATGAAAGTAGTCCCTGGCTGCGTAACCGAAGGAATGGAAGCTCCCGTTGGGATCAAGCAGAAGGCAACTTGGTGTCTTTTGATTGTTAATTCCTGGATCTCCGCCCTCCCACCTTCGCATGACATGGATATTTCCTGGGTCTCGAACGAAGCAGAAGGCATACCCACTAAACGCTGTACCAAAGTCAATTGCCACTAAAACATGATTCATTGAAACATCTGATTGAAAATTATATAAACACAGTTTTCTCGTTAAAATCTAACCAATGACGACATATTTTCGGGATGACTCGTGAATATTAACAAGATTAACTATGGGAGCTGCCACTTCATCTCCACGGGGTGTAAAAGGAACTAAGCCTGATGACGTTGGTGACACTGGAGAGCTATCAGAAGCATATCCAGGAGAATTTTTGGTGTTGAAGAAAATATTGTGACTGTTTATTTCCTTAGACACATTCGTATATATGAAGTGTGTACTAGATGATGTTTCTGATGACGGCGATGCTTTCACATCTGCTTTAGGCTCGTTAGAGCTGGAGTGATTAACTACTGCTGACATCGCACATCTGAAACAATCAATTGTAGCATTAAGAATTTTCATTATGCGAATCCTACTCAAATTGGTGTCATTTATATAACACAGAGGCGAAGCCGAGCTTCACACCACTTGCGATACAATCCTAAATCGGAAAAAAAATCAGAAATTCCGAGATCTATCAAAACGAATAACAGAAGTATCAAAAACTCACACCAAGACAATAGAAGGTAAAAAAAGAATCAGAAGAAAATTTACTAAGCTGTAAACAAGCCGAAAATATCTAAGAAACCCTTTAAAGCCGAAAATAACAAAGAATTAAAAACTAATGAAAAGTTTTATACCCCCCATTCCCCTCAATACACACAACAAAAATTTCGCTTATCGAACGACGAAATATGAGACCAAAAAGCCGAAATGAAATAGGCCTAAACTTATCAACCCGAGAAAAAAAAAGAAATCAAACAACAAAATGAAAATTAAGAAGACTTGAAAACTAAAAAAAAAGTTGTTAAAGCCCATCCCCTTCAATACACACACACACACACACACACAATTTTTTTGCCCATCAAACGACAAATTATGGGACCAATAAGCCGATATAAAATAGACTGAAACCTGATTAAACCGAGATTAAAAAGAAAAAACAAAAAAATGAAATTTAAAACAAAAAAAAGACTGAATAACTGATAACAATTTGTTATAGTCCCATCCCCTTCATTACACCCACACGTACACAACTTTTTGCTTATTAAAAGACGCAGTATGAGGCCAAATAACCGAAAAAAATGGCCCGAAAATAATTTTAGCGAGACCATAAAGAAAAACATGAAATGAAACAAAACAAGTAGGTGAAATTAAAATCAACCTAGAAAAGAAATTTCGAATTTTCAACAAAGACGACTGCAGCAGTTCAGAACGCAACGGGCTGCAAATGGTGGGCTTGAAATGGAGATAATCGTGTGGACAAAGTAGTTAACGTGAAAAAGTCTAAGACCCAATTGCAATACTATTGCTTATCGTAAGGGTATACCCCCCATTCCCCTCAATACACACAACAAAAATTTCGCTTATCGAACGACGAAATATGAGGCCAAAAAGAAATAGGCCGAAACTTATCAACCCGAGAAAAAAAGAAATCAAACAAAATGAAATTTAAGAAGACTTGATAATCTGGGCCATTCGACTAGATTGCTCTACAGTTTATAAATAATCATAATAAACAGGAATTTAGAAAAAACAAATCCAAGGGAGTTAGCTCCCTTTCAGTTTTTGTCAAATCAAAAGTTTTAAAAGTTTAGTTTTCAACTGTTTTTAGAGTTCATGCATCGGCAGTCAATTCTTCACAAGCATGGATCGTTTTTGTTGAATTTCTTTAAAATATCTCCAGAAAACATTCGTTATTAGTTCTTTTATGTTTTGGTGCTCCATGACATCGAATTTAAGGTGCTCATTCAGGGCGTTCGTAATATTGCAGGCTCTCAGGAAAAAATCAGATTCTGATTTTTGCAGTCGAAATTGTTTGCTTTCGTATTTTTTCAAACTTTCATTTCTTGTTTGTCCTTTTTTTCCTTAACACATGAATTTTTTCCATTGTAGGTCAGTTTTTCCTGTTAGGATTTTGTGCAGTAGCAGTGGAATGTGTAATTCATGATAAAGTGACAGAGGAAGGATATGTAGGGAAATCAATCGATCTTTGTATTCTTGAGTTGGACTCAATACCCATGCTGTTGCTTTCTTTTGTACACTTTCAATTACTTTGAGATCTCTTTTTGATGGTTTCCATAATGATGAGCCATAACTTACAAAAGGTGCAACATATGATTTGTATGATTTTAATTTCATGGCTTTTGTTATTTTGGAGATATTTCTTTTCACAGAGCATAATGCCTTCAGAGCTTTGGCAGATCTATTTGTAGCCTTCTCAGTTCAACTTAAGGTGCTAGTGATTATCAGACATTTATCTTTCTTTTCTGCTGTTTCTTCAAGAGCAGTTCCATTTACTTCAACTTTTGCATTTCCTTTCACACTGAGAATTTTGGTTTTTGACACATTTACTGCCATTAATATCTTCACACACCAATTCCAAATTCTCTTCGCATCGATATTTAAAATTAATTGGTCATTGCAAACAATTTAGTAATCGTTTGCGTAGCCAAAACTTGCTGACATTGCACAATCTGGTAGGTCATTTAAATAGAGAATTATCATCAAAGGTCCGAGAATTGACCCCTGAGGCACACCACTGTGTACTGGTAATGGCTCGGATACTGCTTGTCCAATGCGAACTTTTTTTTTCTATCTGTTAGAAAAACTTTTAGTACCTTTAAACCTTGTACTGTGAAAGCAAAGCTCCTAATTTTTTCAATTATCATTGCGTGGTTCACCTTGTCGAATGCCTTTTAGAAATCTAGGTAGAAGCAAGCCAGGTAATTTGTTTCGATATTATCAGAGTAAGTATATACCTCATGGAGATACTCAATGAGGTTTGTAACAGTAGATCGTTTTTGTCGGAAGCCGTGTTGTGAGTTTGAGATGCTGAATTTTACCAATGAAATCATTTTATCGAAAATTAATTTTTCTAACACCTTTGAGATAACCGTTAGCAGACTTATTGGTCGGTAGTTTGAGACAATTTTTTTGCCTCCCTCTTTGAAGATCGGAACAATTTCGCTGATTTTCCGTGTTGACGGAAAAACCCATTTGTTAACAATACAAAGTAGATAAAGAGATTAAGAGATAGAACAGCTTAGTTTTCTCAAAAGAACGTTTCCTAGGTTATCAGGTTTTTTGACTTTGTTGATATCCAAGCTTTCAAGGATTTTTTCGATTTCCGTTGCGGTAAAATGGAAATTCGCTATTTTACAAACATGAGAAGGGTTATTCTCGCCTACATAGAGGGAGTGGCTAAGAACTGACTGAAAATATTTATTGAATAAAATGGCTTTATCGATATTTGATGTAGCTCAATGATCATCGAGGTAGACATCACCTGGGATTGTATCTGTTTTTCGGTTACTTTTAAAGTAATTTTGCAATTTTGAGAAGTTAGCATCAACAAATAAGTTTTCTTCGTATACTCTTTGGTCTTCGCTTAAGTTAAACTCGAGGTGTTTTTCAAATGTTTTCAGTTTGTGTGTAACTGACATTCGGTCACGTTTTTTTCACATTTTCTGCGCATTGTATCCATAATTTTGATGAGATTTGATGTTTCAGATGTTACCCAAGGTGCCAGAGAGCTTCGATGTTTTGTTTTCCTGGAGATGTGCTTTTCGATTTTGTTAAGTAGCCAAACGAATCACAAATCAGTCATTAGATCAACATTGCTTGCTGTAGCAGTGTGGGTTAAATGGGTTTTCATTGATGTATTGGTTTATTTCGTCCCAGTTTGCTTTTGTAGAATGAGAATCCTTGGAAGCCATTGCGGTCATTTCCTTCTTTTTCTCTATTGTAATCATTTTTTTAAAATTAGGTTGACTTTTGCGTGGTAGGGAGGATAATCCGTTTTATACAAGGATGTGAGTATATTGTCTTTTTTCACGAGAGTTAACAAATCTGGGTGGTTGCAGAGTATTACGTCTAGTTGTACTTTTTATTTTCCCGTTATCATTTGTTCGAAGTTAAGATCTGCAAGAGCGTCCAGAAAGCCCTGTTCGTCTTCATCAGAGGAGATTAGGGTCGCCCAGTCCGTTTGAGCAAAGTTGATGTCTCCAGTAATCATCACGTTTCTTACATTTAATTCTATTTGCTTTTGCCTAATAAAATATAGAAAAATCAATAGGGATTTTGACGACCAGCGGTATTCGCTTCCTTTGGGGGCACAGTATATGCAAGCTATATTGACGGAGTTTTTGATCAAGAGCTTGACTATTAGGCAGTCATTGAAAGTTGAGGGTATGCAGTAGTGAGGTATTTCGTGGTTTCTCCCAATTATAACACCTCCATATTTTGATTTGCCGTTAACGCTCTGCCTGTTTGTCCTATGGATGTTAAATTTGTCAAGAAATATTGCTCCTGAGGTCACATTTCCAGTTAACGACGTCTCTGTCAGACGAATGATATCGTAGATATTTTTAGATTGGATGGCAATCGAGAATAGAGTTCTTCTAGAATATTCTAAGATGCTTCTGACATTATAGAGGAGTAGATTAGCTTTTTGTCTTAATCAATTGTTGACTGTTGTTTCAGATTTAGGCGATATCACTATCCATTGGTTTCGTTCTCTTTTGTATAGCTTGCCATCCCTTACACTAAAGTCTTTCTTATTTTGCCCCTGATCTATAAGTTCTCTTCTTTTCTATAAAGATTCGTTTTCTATCGCGGCTTCTTCGTTTGTTAGTTTAGTTCCTTGCTTATGAATACTACAGCTCCATAGTTTTTCAGTTTTTGTGCTTTTGATCAGATCAACCGTTTCAACCATACATTTGGCAGTTTAAGAAGTATCGTTCTGTCGCGATCATTACCTCTTTGGCCTAGTGTAATCAAGTCGTTGAACTTACATTCAATCTCCATCAGGAATTTTTGTACTTCGTAGAAGTCCTGTTCTTGGCGCTTTCTAGGATCCTTGTCATCGCTCTCTTTTACTCCTATTATCCTTATTCCTAATGTCTGGTTATTGTTATTGATTTTTTCCGATGTGGTTAAATTTGATTCCTTTTGATTTGGTTTTATTTCGGGTTGTTTTGCTGGTTTTGATAGTATGTTTTTAATTTCCGAGACTGTTTTCTTAAGTTCTTTCATCTCATTTTTCATTTTTTCAAGATTCTCCTCCTTTACTGCGTCTGGTTTTGCCAGTAGTGACTTTATCTTTTCTGGTTGGTTTGCCGAAACGCACGTGTTACACAGTAAAAGTATGTTCATGCCCAAATCCTTTATACCGGACAATGCGTTCTTACTAAGTTTGGTGCATTATGCTGTCTGATGCACTCAACATCCACATGTATGCAATCGAAAGATTGCTCTCTTGCATTTATGAGGGTGGTAAAAACTTCGGGACTTGTTTTATTATTGAATGACCGGTGGTGCCT